CTGCATTCTCTTTTTCTATTAACCAGTCTTGATGAGCTTTAAGAAGGTTCAAAAGAACTATATGGTGTGTTGGAAACTTGAAACATCATCTTACAAAGATGAAGAAAGAAAAGCCAAATGCTGCACCCTCTCACGATATGCCTTCTTACGATAAGCCGAGAAGGTTCTTCTTAATGTTCTTAAATTGCATGAACTTGATCTTATTACTTTGCACAATTGGAATTTGGATTTAATGCATTATCTGAGCAAGGATAGATTTTGGGCAGCTTTTTCGTCAAGTCAAATTTAGTGAAAAACCATGCATGCAGGTTTGAGATGCATTCATGATTATGTAGAGGGTGCCTTAGGAAAAGCAACAGCTTTTATTTATTTATTTATTTATTTAATTTAAAGCAACAGCTTATATGCTGATAATTTAGTGTTATATAATATTATAATTTTTTTTTAAAAAAATGTAAGTTATTGTTCATAAACTTGTGATAAAATCACATTACCTGTTTTTATTTTACATATTTTGCAATTAAAAAAAAATAAAAAAAGAATAGAAAGAGAAAAGGCTGGGTCCATTCTCAATGCCGTTATCTCAAATCTGGATTTTGCCTTTATGGGAAACACATATAATAATGAAATATATAGCAGTTTGTAAGTTGTTTTCAATTTTGCATGGTGTGGAAATTTACACACGGTTTTGTTTGTAAAATTCAAAATTATATGAAGACAAGGTGGAGACATGGTGTGTTGGAAGTTTGGTAGCGACAAGTGTAGCATTTTTTTAATATTTTCCTTGATTAATATATGAAAGAGCCAAGCTGGATTTTGGCTCAGACTACAATAAATGATTGAAGAAAATTTTAAGTTAATTAGATGGGACCTAATTTAGGTGTAGCTTATTACTTTAGCTGGATTTCATAAATGTCTTGTTCACTTGCCAGGCGTTAATAAAAGATTAGTACTGTCTATTAAAACACAAAATTACGTGAGCTATTATTACAAATAGCCCTTGAGATTAGTCTTACTAGTAATCAACTTGTACATTCGCACAGAGAAAAATACTTTAAAAATATAATAATATAAAAAAAAATAAAAAAAAATTATAATTTAATTCATGAAAAAAAATATAAATTAAGAAAATAATTCTCAAAATTGATTTTGATCAAGTAATTGCTATGGAAGAGCCGTTAAAATCATTTTCTTTATGCTAATACACCCAACCATTTTCATGAGTGGGTGTGACTTAAAAAAATACATAAATGTGGTCTGGAATCGATCTGATCAAACCATGGGCCGGTTTTTACCCGTGGTCATGTCTACCTACTTTAATAAAGCGTGCTCTTAGAAGTATGTGATAATTTTTTTTATTCTTTTTTAGGATAAATAGTATTTGATAAATTAATTATTGCTGGTAGTTCCTCTTCTCATTAAGAAAAATGGCATTTAGTTGTTTATAACATCTCCGGCTTATTTTAGGTGAGAAGCAATATAATAATTCAATTTTTTCGTTGCAAGCGAGTTTTTTTTTTTTTAAAAAAAAAATCAGAGTTGAAGCTTTTTTCGCAGTAGCATGAAAATTGATTTGAAATATAATTGGATAGGGTTTGGGTGGTTACAATTATCAGTACAATTTAACCAGAAGAAATATCAAATTAAAACAATTTATGGGTATGGTCAATGGATTTGGGATAATAATGGTGTTTATAAAGCTTATGTGTACAGTGTATACGTGGTATCCGTGTTAAATCGATAACTCCATTCAACGGATAATTATAATTGTTATCTTATATGAAAAACCACTTTATATTCGAAAAAATAAATTAAATAAATAAAGAAAGAAAGAAATAGAATATTTTTAGATAAAACAACTTACGATGAAAGTGGGGCATGAAAGAGATGGATTGTCTCCTTTTGATTGCTCATCATTAATTCTGTTAATTCCGAAAGTTTATTTCAATATTTATGTGAAGGGACCATTAATTAGTATTAATTACATAATGTGTGCAATGTAGTGACATTAGACCATTTATATGGACCAAATATATGATTATTTCACGACCTAAAAGTGGAGAGATACAATAAAGTTGAAAAGGATGAAATTCTTTTGAAACAGACATTTTCATACACTTATTGTTATCATTTTTTTTTCTTTATGATCATATGAGACAAATTGGATGATGACTAACCTAGAGTGCTTAATTAATTTAAAACCACTTATTTATTTATTTTATCCTATAACTGGTTGTAATTTGAGTTGAGCTCAACTCAGCTTGTCTCATTAAGACTCGAAAATAATTTTTTTTATATAATTTTCTACAGATCGACTCAATAGAGACTCTCGCTCTCGACTATGTTCGTTTTAAATATTTTAATTGAACACTTAATCAAACTTGAATACCCAATATGGGTGGATTACTCAATTAGATTTAATGTTAATTGTATGGATTTTTATTTGGAATAATTCAAGCAACTATCCATTTATACCATTAGAAAAACATGGGAATGCAAATGGTTATTTCAATTTGGGGAATTAATAACTATATGAATAAATAAAACAAATACTACAGTTTTAAGGGTAGATTTGATGTTTTTCATGCAATGTTTGATTCTAATTTCGGTACCGATTGCACGGCATGTCCTCATAGGATACCCCTCCCATTCGTGCTTGGAAAAATGTGAAATATTTGGATTTTTCTGAAAAAAAATTAATAAACAAAAATAAATAAATAAACACGAGCATGAAGACTTGAGGGAGTGTATTGCATGGTTTTATCTTTGGATTAAAAATATTTATCTGAGATCTAAATGCTTACACAAATATATTGCACATGATAATTGATACCTGCAGACCCTACATTGCCACTGTTACACACTTAATTTATTTATTTTTTATCTTCTTTTTTTCCTTTTCCAAGAAACCATGTGATATGATTTAGTTTGATATAATTGTACTACTTAAAGATCTTATTTTTAATTAAATATGAGAATTTTCATCCATTATTATTCAGTGAGTAATGGTTGCAAATTGATATTTACAATATTTCACCCAATAAAAACTGAAAAGATTTTCAAAAATCAATTTTTCGTCCGCTTTATTTTGTTAGTATGTATAATTTATAATGATCTGATCAGACAGAAGATCATATTATATTTTTTTTTATCAAATTGTGACTATCTAATTATTAGACAAATTAATAGCAATATTTGTGATATAAAATAACAAATTTTAGTATTTATGTAATTAAAACGAAAACTTTGCATTAAAGTCAGAGTTGCCAGCATAATACTACCCAGACAATGAGACAAATCAAGATCCCAAAGCAATTATTTACTTATTTAACACTAAAACACAAGAGTAAAATCTAAGCAAATGGTAAATCACACAAACTCACAAGTCGTGGGATCTATGGCATTTGTCTCCTTTCCTTTGGTGTCAAAAAGTGTTTTCTTGTTTGACTTGATGTGTATATTAGTCTCAAAAAAACTTTTTATACACATAATTGTGAATTTAAAGAAATAGTATTTTGGTCTTACACAATGTAAAATAATGTGTATGGAATAAGAACATCAGCAACAACACTAAT